GGGCCATTCATATATTAAATCTGACTCTTCAAATATCTGGCTTTATCCTAGGGCATGTATATGGACTCTATGTATTATTTTTAAGTTTTGTGCAACTGGAGAACTTTTGTTAATTGATTTATATAGCTTATTAACATAGTTTTGATTAAAAGCTTATGGTGACATACTAGGCTGGGCGCTGCCAGTGGTCACAAAGCCTCAGTATAAAGGAGGTGAGAAAAGGTGCACCCAGGCTAGCAGAGAAGGGACTGAGCAATGGTTCCAGTACGCTTGTTCTACTAATGCGCTGAAAACCAAAACAACACAGTGATGGGGGGTGGCCCACTTAAAAATCCACAGAAACTCACAAAGGGGAAGTACAAGCTCTGCCCTAGGAGATGCCAACTATGCCAAGTGCCTCACAGAAGGCACAGGAGGCAATTCCTGCCAGGAGAAGGGCGGCTGCGAGACACATTATTTTAAGACATGATTATTGGGCTTTAGTGCTATACCCAAACATAGAGGCTGCTGTCAGTGGTCAAAACCTCCAAAAAAGCTCTGTAAATTGGATTTACTAATAATTACATTAGCTATGTTTAAACAGGAGCATACAATAACAACTTATACTTGTTCTTCCTGTCATCTCTCCAACTGAGTGGCTGTAACCTCTCAGAGAGAAGCTGTGAAGCTCTGTCCTCAGTTCTCAGCCCCCAGTCCTCTTAGATCTGAGGGAGAGCTGGACCTGATAACAACAACTGCGGATTCAGTCATCAAGCTGCTGTCTGCCGGACTTCCAGAGTCCCATTGTACATTGGAAACTCTCAGGTTGGATCAATTATCTTTGTTTTTCCTGCATTGTTTCATTTGGTGTATTTAACTTAAATGGGTCACAGTCACAAGTTAAAATCTGACTTCTTCAAGGATCTAGCTAAGTAGTGCATGTACATGTACTTGTGTATTCATTTTCAGTTTTGTCTCCAAAATAAACAACTGAAAAAATAATTATGCAATCTTGTTTATTCACTAATAGTGCCGACTATAACATAGCTTATGATTTATGGTTTTGATGATATACACAAAAATGTGGCAGTGGTCAAGACCAAAAAAAAACTATTACTTGTTTCCTTTCTGTTGTCTCTCCAGACTGAGTGGCTGTAACCTCTCAGAGAGAAGCTGTGAAGCTCTGTCCTCAGTTCTCAGCTCCCAGTCCTCTAGTCTGAGAGAGCTGGACCTGAGTAACAACAACCTGCAGGATTCAGGAGTGAAGCTACTCTCTACAAGACTGAAGACTCCACAATGTACACTGGAAACTGTCAGGTCAGATTAAGCCACAGTGTGTCTCAAATTATTTAAGTTATTTTTTTAAAGTTACCCTGCTCCATAGTTTCTGCTTTTCTTTGTGTCATCTTATTCATTCAGTATTTTCTGTTTTATTTTGTAACACGTACCTCTCTTCTTATGTCAGTAACTTTACTTCCTGTCTTTGTGTGTTTTCCTGTCTGTGTGATTATCTGCCTTACCCTGATGAGTTTCACTCTTTACACTCACTATCTAGTGAAAGTCTTTAACCTAGTTAAAGTTAGTATAAAGTTTTTGAACTTTTTTGATAAATGAATGTACTTCACCAGTTCTGCCTATGTTTGCCTAGATTGTCTTTACTGTATCACCTGATATCCATATTCTGATACTTGTTCATTATTTCCTCTCCAGACTGAGTGGCTGTAACCTCTCAGAGAGAAGCTGTGAAGCTCTGTCCTCAGTTCTCAGCTCCCAGTCCTCTA